TCACTGACCTTTTTATGGTATTGATTTAATTACAAAATAAAAACAGGTACTCATACAAGTTTCCATTTCTTGAGAGTAAAGGAAGAGTAGAAGTAGATGATGATAGAGTCGGCCCACTCTTCGAACATACTTTCCCTCCTTCTCTCTCCCCTTCTCTCTCCTTTGTCGGTATCCCTAGAAAGGTCTCTCTCTCTACTTTTATGTATTTTTATCTTGGTTTTCAACTAATTGATGTTGATTTTTAGTTTCTCATAATATTAAAAAAGTTTGGTGTTATGCAGTTAATAGGATTCCCATTCTTTGAAGCACAAGCAAAATGGATAGCACAAGTACTGTCTGGAAAGTTATCTCTTCCTTCTTCCAACCAAATGTTGCAATCTGTCGCCGAGTTTTACCGGTCAAGAGATCTCGCCGGAGTTCCTAAACACAACACTCACGACATTGCCGATTTCACAGTAATAAAACTCTCTAAATATGATTTTATTGTTATTATATATTTTATGACCTAATAATATATTTTAAATCTTGTTTTGGTATAGTATTGCGATAAATATGCGGATTATGTTGGGTTTCCGCATTTGGAAGAATGGAGAAAACTACTTTGTTTGTCTGCTCTCGAGAATTCACAAGAAAATCTTGAAACGTATCGTGATTCTTGGGATGATCAAGAACTCCTACAAGAAGCTATGCAGAGCTCTCATTTTACAAATTTTAATTATTGAAACTCTTCTCTTGTTCTGTTTTATTTGTTTTGTTAAATTATTTTGTTACGTTGGAAAGAGAGAAAGAATCTCTCTTTCTTCATTTTTATCTAGTTTGTTTTTATTTATGTTTTTGGTTGATACTTTATTATTTATATATTTGTTTCCTTCGATACAATGATATTAACATACAAATTTCAATGGAGATCCTTGTTAGAAAGATGTAGCAACTTGGTTTATAACCTTTCGTAGAAAAATATGAAACACTCTGTAGTCTGTAGTCATGGTCTATAAGAAAAAACTGGTCTTTAGCATATTTTGGTTGAGAAGGCTTTGGGTTTGGAGTAGCGGAAAGATATTGGGCTGTCGACTATTTGAAGCCGTAATATTACAAATAGGCCTTAGATGGTATGAATACCATAGAAGAAACATTTGAGAAATGATCTCAAATTTGGGCTACGACACCTCTAGAAATGGCAAATATGTTTGATTGGTCCCATATCGTACAGTGTCACTACGGGCTCATCTTATCTTGAAGTGAGTTATGGTGAATCAGGTTTGCGTGGACTGTGGTATCGAATGATTGACAAAACCCACCTTGCAATATATGTAGGTCTTTGTGGGTTGACCTGCAGTCCCAATATTACACATATGTCTTAAATGCTATAAATACCATGGAAGAAACATTTGGAAAATGATCTCATTTTTGGGCTACGACGCCACTAGGAATTGGCAAGCAGGTTTTGTTCATCCCATATTGTACCGTACTACAATGGACTCATCTTGAAGTGAGTTACGGTGAGTCAGATCTACGTGGACTGCGGTATCGAATGATTGACAAAACCCACCTTGCAATATATGTAGGTCTTTGTGGGTTGGTCCGCAGCCCCAATATTACACATAAGCCTTAGATGCTATGAACACCATGTAAGAAATATTTCGGAAATGATCTTATATTTGGACTACGACGCCACTAGGAATGGCAAACAATTTTGATTAGTCCCATCTCGTACTGTACCACAACAGGCTCATCTTGAAGCGAGTTACGGTGAGTCAAGTCTGAGTGAACTGCGGCATTGAGCAAAACCCACCTTGCAATATATGTAGGTCTTTGTGGGTTGACCCGCAACCCCAATATTACACGTAGGCTTTAGATACTATGAATACCATGGAAGAAACATTTGGGAAATGATATCTTTTTTGGGCTACGACGCCACTAGAAATGGCAAACAAGTTTGATTCGTCTCATCTCGTACCGTACCACAACAGATTCATCTTGAAGTGAGTTACGGCAGGTCTGCATGGACTGGGATATCAAATGATTGACAAAACCCCACCTTGCAATATATGTAGGTCTTTGTGGGTTGGCCTGCAGCCCCAATATTACACATAGGCCTTAGATGCTATGAACATCATAGAAGAAACATTTGGAATTGATCTCATATTTGGGCTACGACGCCACTAGGAATGACAAACAAGTTTGATTCGTCCCATCTCGTACCGTACCAAATGGGCTCATTTTGAAGCGAGTTACGGTGAGTCAGATCTGCGTGAACTCTGGTATCGAATAATTGACAAAACCCACCTTACAATATACGTAGGTCTTTATAGGTTGCCCCGCAAGACGTCCGATCTTCTACTACTGTCTGCACGGAAATCATAACTATGTTATGGTGCTTTGACTATGTTACTGATGTAACAAGATATATATTGTGTTACAGCATTGTGAAGATGAAGAGAACATGATCAGACAGTTCTTGTAATATATTTTTTTTTCTAATTAAAGTGCATGTAGAAGATGATGTAACGTAAGTCTTTATTTTTCCGCATGACCCGCTTGGATCCATCTCACTGAAGTTCGGTAACACAACAGTCCGGTGCCACAACACGTAATACTGCGAAGCCGGCTATTTCACGGACTTACAAATCCTAGTCTGCGGTCCAGACTGCTTATTGTCATCTCTAGATGCCACACGTACACACTTCGTAACTCAGTTGGGCAGTTGACTAAATTAAGCCTAAGGTTATACATGGGCCTAAACTGCTTCAAAATTTCAAATAACAAATATGCATATATTGAGGCCTTTTAATGTTTATGTGAAGAGCACAAGGTTAGGTATGGTATGTAGACATAAACATATATTATTGTCCCTTTTCTGATATTTCATAAATTAATAAGAGATACCTTATCCTCAAAGGATAAGAAAATACAATTCCCTTTATTCAAATTATTTTCCCGACTAAACCCTTCATTCAAATTACTACAAATGAAAAATGGAAACCTTTACATACTATCACCGATTAAATCCCCTATATATTAATTGAGAAACATTTGAAAAGATGTAACCTCAAGTTTGTATTAATTAAAAAGTAACTTTGCTTAGTTGTCAATCAATTAGCATATCAATTAAACTGACGTGGCGGTTTTAGGTTCAATTGAAATTTGTTAGGGAAAAATAATTAGAGACGCATATAACGCATGTAACATAGTTTATATATTTATATATATCGCACGCATGTAATGGAAGAAAAGGAAAATATACGATTTGATAACGATTTGCATATATTAACTATAATAACTTCATTCCTTTTAATTTATGGAAGTGTATATGTAAAATGGAAAATACTTAAATTAAAATAATCATANTAACGATTTGCATATATTAACTATAATAACTTCATTCCTTTTAATTTATGGAAGTGTATATGTAAAATGGAAAATACTTAAATTAAAATAATCATAACGTAATTTATAAATCATTGGTGTAAAGTTTTGTTACACAAATATGCAAATAATCATAAAATCATATGAGTAGAAACCTCATTTAATAAATATCCATATTAAAGTGTGCTATATTACTATGTTTATATCATTTAAATTTAATTATATATCATATACAATATATAAGATTGATTATTTTGATTTATTTATCCTAATTGTGAATAAACAAGAGTAATAGTTAAATTTATATGCATACGCCAATTTGTTACATAATAGTAATTGATTTCTTAGTTATTAAATATATATATATTTATTATTTTATTATTTATAATATGCAGAAAAATATAAAATAAATAATAAATATAAAATACTTATTGTGCATAAAGTGCAGATCTTAACCTAAGTATTTATCTGTTTAATTATTTTAAAACTTAAATATTTTCTAAATTTCAGGTCAAAACAAACAAACGAAATGAGATATTTTAAGTTTTATTTAATTTATACCGAGTAATAACCAAAATATAAAAAAAAAACATAGCAAGAGAAAAATGGAAGATAAATAGGATTGACACGTGAACGTAAACTTCTCATAACTGGAAGATAAATAGGATTGACACGTGAACGTAAACTTCTCATAACCATAATTAATTTTTAAATTGTTAAATCATGATATAAAATTGAGTTAATTTTTAATTTGTTAACTTTTAATTTTTTTTAATTTTTTAAATCATTATGGTTATGTTAAATCATGACAATAATTAATTTTAAATTGTTTATTTGTATTCAAAAAACTTTAAATATTGCTTTTAAAAATAATTTTAAATTTAACATAATTTTTTAGAAAATTATTTTTAAAAAATATAATTTTAAAAAAATATAATTTTCTAATATTATTAGACAAATAAATAAATTATATTAAATTAGTTTAGAAACTTTATATATTTTAATTGCAAATATTTTACCAATTGCATCTTTAAAAACATTAGGGAACTTGCTATACTCTACCAATCAAGCCCAGTGACACTCCATTTATTTTCCATCACTCGAACACTGAAAAGTAAAAATATATATGAAATCAGATCCATTAAATTCTAAGATTTGATTTACATTTCTAATTAAAGTTTTTTTTGATCATACGTATAGATAATTATATAAAAATTCCAAAATTCTAAAATTTCAAATACATACAAAAACAATCATATGTAAATTTTAAATTTGTGAATATTAAAATTTTATATTTTAATTACATATATTCACCCTGCGCAAGGCGCAGGTCTGAAATGATTCTACATATATACATATCTTGGTGACTAAATTGTAGTAAGTCAATAACGTGTTTTCGACAGATGGAAAATCACAAATTGAACTTCTTTTGTATATTTATTTTTTGTTGGTCAGAGAAAACGTGGTTGTAATTTTTAATAAATACTACTGTTTTACATATATCCACGTAGGACGAAAGAAACAGCTGGAGAATGGTGGCGTCGTATGTCGGGACTCCGAACCGGGTCTCCCCTCTTTCTCTAAAGTCCACACCACCACTCCGTACGTTTCATCCGGTTCGGTAATGAGTAAAAGAAAAATCAAAAAAGCCTTTTCTGGCTCATAATTAATTAATAGCTCTCTAATTATGAATAAAATTAAAATAAAAAAATAAAAAAGATCGAGAAAGGAAGATTTCTCGAAATCTCGATTCATTCATTCCTTCTTTCTGCTCCATCTTCTTCTCCCACCTGAAAATTCTTCATCTCACTCTTACTTCCCTTCTTTGTTTATGTAAACTATTTTGATTTTAGCTTTGAAGATTCCATTTTTGTCTTACAAGAGTTTCCTCATTTGTACATAGATCGAAATTTCAATACAATCCGCGTCGTTGGCTTCGCTATTACGAGCTGCCTTGTTTCATAATTGGAAGAGAGAGAGAGAGAAGATAGAAGAGAGAGAGAGAGAATAGGTTTCGTTGTCTCTTTCTATCTGGCTATTGTGAATTTTATCAACATTGAGAAAAAATTAGGGTTTGAATTAGGAGGGAGGGGGAGGGAAGAAGTAGTGGATCTGAGGTTTAGGTCAACGGAATTTGAGAATTGGAGAATGATCTGTTTGTTGGTTTACTAAAATCGACGGTTTGGATCTGATCCGAGGAGAGACAGCGCCGCCTTTCCATGGCGCTGTTCCGTCGCTTCTTCTACAAAAAACCTCCTGATCACCTTCTCGAGATCTCTGAGCGTCTCTATGGTAACATAACACCTCTTTGCGTGATCAGTTTCTCTTAGATTTGAGCTTTTTTTTTTATTTGGCACTTTTGATTGTGTGGAGATTGGAGTGGTAGCTTTGCTATGGATATGTTATTTGAGCTGAACTTGTAGTATCTCTTAGGGTTTGAATCATTTTGAGGTTTTAGGAATCAGAATCTCACTTTTAAGCTTTTGTCGGATATTCCTTTCTGACAGGAACCAAAACCTTGGTGGTTTCTTTTAATTGTTCGGCTTATGATGTTACATTGCACTTCCTTATAGTGGCAGCAGCAATCCCATAGCTAGAGTAGACCATTGGTGTAAAACCAGTTCCAGGTTTCAAAGTTGTGTGTTTCTCATGTTATTTTTTTGGTTCGTTTCGTGCAGTTTTTGACTGCTGTTTCTCGAGCGATGTTATGGGGGAGGATGAGTACAAACTCTACTTGGGTGGCATCGTTGCTCAGCTACAGGATCATTTCCCTGACGCTTCTTTCATGGTCTTCAACTTCAGAGAAGGAGAGCAACGGAGTCAAATATCGGATGTCTTATCTCAATACGACATGACGGTTATGGACTATCCTCGGCAATATGAGACTTGTCCGCTCTTACCTCTTGAGATGATCCAACACTTCTTAAAATCTAGCGAAAGCTGGTTATCATTGGAAGGTCAACAAAATGTTCTCCTGATGCATTGCGAGAAAGGTGGTTGGCCTGTACTTGCTTTCATGTTATCAGGGCTGTTGTTGTACAGAAAGCAGTATCAGGGTGAGCAGAAGACTCTTGAGATGGTACACAAACAAGCTCCCAAGGAGCTTCTTCATATACTCTCTCCTCTTAACCCGCAGCCTTCTCAACTCAGATACCTTCAGTACATTTCTAGAAGAAACTTAAGCTCTGATTGGCCTCCTTCAGATACTCCTCTTCTTTTGGATTGCTTGATTCTCAGAGATCTCCCACATTTTGAGGGTATGAAAGGTTGCAGACCAATTTTAAGGGTTTATGGTCAGGACCCTAAATCTAAAGCCAATAGGAGCTCTATTGTTCTGTTTTCCACACCAAAGACAAATAAACACACTCGCCTCTACCAACAGGTATCTATCACATATATGAATATGATCATCACTCTTATTTATGTTCAAGGCATTGCATAGTATAGGAGGTTCTTTTGGTAGTTTATTATATTAGCTACACGCTTCTCTAGACAATGTTCATTATCTTGATTTTATCTGCAGGAAGAGTGTATCCTAGTGAAATTAGATGTCCAGTGCCGTGTTCAAGGGGATGTTGTTCTGGAATGTATACATTTGCATGATGATTTGGTGCGTGAGGAAATGGTCTTTAGAATCATGTTCCACACAGCATTTGTACGTGGTAATATTTTAATTGTGGAACGCGATGAGATGGATATACTTTGGGATGCCAAGGACCAGTTCCCAAAGGAATTTAAGGCAGAGGTAAGGCCATTGTGTAAATTTTTCTCTGATTATTTTATTAAATGAGGCTGTTAAGTTTGAATGCATACTCATATATGTATCAGGTACTTTTTTCTGATGCTGATACCGTGGTGCCTACTATTGCAACAGCTCCAGTATCAGACGATGAGAACGATTTTGATATCACTTCACCGGAAGAGTTTTATGAGGTGGAGGAGATTTTTAGCGATGTGATTGAGGGGCCTGACCATATGGTTGACTCAGATAGTTTTGTGGTTGTTGATACTGCTTCAGATGATTCTGAGGGTAAAGAGGTGTGGAAGGGAGACGTGGAACCCAATGCGTTTCTGGATTGTGCATCTGATGATTCAAATCATAAACATGAGCTGCGTGGGGAGGCTAGCACAGATCCAGTCAAAGATATAACAGTTGATGATGTACAGTATAGATCAGATGGGAAGGCAGACACCAGTATGGATTCAGTGAAGGATATAGGAATAGATGATAGTGATGAGCAGCGAAAGAGGACAATGGAAGCAAAGGAGAATGATTCTAGAACAGAAGAGACTCAACAGAAAGGTGATGGAGAAGGCAATGATTCGCAGAATGATATAGAGTCTACAGCTCAGAAAACAAATACTGATCTCAACATCCCTATATCCGAAAAAGCTAAAGCTACACCAAAGAAACTGGTCGGAGCAAATGCAAAAGTAGCTGGAGATTCACTCAAACCGAAGTCTAAGCAGCAAGAAACTCAGGTTCCTAATGTTAGAATGGCTAAGCCTAATGCAGTTTCTCGGTGGATTCCTTCAAACAAGGGCTCATACAAAGATTCTATGCATGTGGCGTACCCTCCGACAAGGACAAACAGTGCTCCTGCTTCAATTACCACTTCTCTAAAGGATGGTAAAAGAGCTACATCGCCTGATGGAGTGGTTGCAAAGGATGCGAAGACTAAGTATCTGAGAGCGTCGGTTTCTTCATCGGATATTATGAGGAGTCGAACTCCAATTTGGTTATCACCAGATTCTAGCCCAAAGGAAAAACCGCCTTCTCTACCTATTTCTCCACATAAGGCGCCTACAACTCCTCAGCATCCACCTACAACTCCAGCCCTACCTACTCTAACCAGCGAGGCTACGTCAGTTTTACAGTCTCCACAAGCAGTTGCATCACCTCCTTCGCCACCACCACTGCCTACTTATTCTTCACAGAGTCTAAATGACAGCTACTCTCAGACATCTCATGTCCCAGAACCACCTCCATTTGCATCTGACAGACTAAATAATGGAACCATGTTGCCGCCACCACCTCCACCTCCACCTCCTTCTTTTGCATCTGAGAAACCAAACAATGGAACCGTGTTGCCACCGTCTCTTCCTTGGAAGTCTGTGTTTACTTCATCTTTGGCAACTCCTACGACATGTTCTACTTCTCAACCTCCTCCTCCACCACCTCCACCACCGTGGAAGCATGTGTCTGCTTCGATTCTTGAAACTCATGAAACATGCTCTACATCGTATAACTCACCGCCGCCACCACCACCACCGCCACCTCCTCCTCCTCCTTTTAGCTCAACAGATACAAGAAAATCAAATGTAGATTACATTCCTCAGCCTCCTCCGCTGCCTTATATGAGTATTGCACCTTCGCCATCACCCAAGATGTCTCCTACTAACGGCTTTTATGATGCTCCTCCACCTCCACCACCACCACCTCCGCCTCCTCCTTTTAGTAAAGCACATTCAGTCCCTCCATCTCCGCCACCAAGTTATGGATCTCCAACTCCACCTCCTCCTTTTAGTCACGTAAATTCAGTTTCTCCACCTCCTCGGCCACCAAGTCATGGATCCCCTCCTCCACCACCTCCTCAGCCACCAAGTCATGGAGCCTCTCCTCCACCACCTCCTCCACCACCACCACCTCCATTTGGATCTAGTAGACCTCTGCCACCATCACCACCCCCTTTTGGTGAAACTTCTCCTCCACCACCACCTCCACCACCACCTCCTTTTGGTAATACTTCGCCACCACCACCTCCACCACCACCTCCTTTTGGTAATACTTCGCCACCACCACCTCCACCCCCACCTCCTTTTGGTAATACTTCACCTCCGCCACCACCACCTCCATTTGGTAAATCTTTACCTCCTCCACCACCACCACCTCCGTTTAGATCTGGTGGACCTCCTCCGCCACCACCACCTCCATTTAGTGCCGGTGGACCTCCTCCGCCACCACCACCTCCATTTAGTACTGGTGGACCTCCTCCGCCACCACCTCCTCCATTTAGATCTGGTGGACCTCCACCTCCACCACCACCTCCGTTCGGATCTACTGGACCTCCACCACCACCACCACCTCCATTTAGATCCGGTGGACCTCCACCGCCACCACCACCTCCATTTAGTACCGGTGGACCTCCTCCTCCACCACCACCTCCATTTAGATCTGGTGGACCTCCGCCTCCACCACCTCCTCCATTTAGATCTGGTGGACCTCCGCCTCCACCACCTCCTCCGATGCTTGGAGGAGCACCACCGCCACCACCTCCCCCAATGCGTGGAGGAGCACCACCGCCACCACCTCCCCCAATGCGTGGAGGAGCCCCTCCTCCTCCTCCGCCTCCTGGTGGTAGAGCTCCTGGACCGCCCCCTCCACCGCCTCCAGGTGGTCGTGCTCCTGGTCCACCTCCACCTCCTGGACCAAGACCTCCTGGTGGTGGACCTCCTCCACCTCCTGGACCTAGACCTCCTGGTGGTGGACCTCCAAGTGCAGGAAGAGGGCGTGGTCTTGCACGTCCAGGTTTAGGGTCTTCAGCTCCAAAAAAGTCGTCTCTGAAGCCTTTACACTGGGTTAAAGTGACAAGGGCCTTACAGGGAAGCTTATGGGACGAGTTACAGAGACAAGGACAAACGTACTGGACTAACTTTACATTCCTCTTTTTTACATATATTTTGTTTATCCAGGAAAACAATTTATGTGTTATTGATCATCATTTTTCTCGTTTCTGCTAGTGCACCTGAATTTGATGTGTCAGAAATAGAGACCCTTTTCTCTGCTATAGTGCCAAAACCGGTTGATAAAGCTGGAGGTCGAAGAAAATCTGTTGGGGCAAAACCTGAAAAAGTGCAACTGGTAATGTTAAATATTCTAAAGACTTGATTATTGCTATATAACTTGCTCTTTTACTAGTGGAGATTTTGGTCATATGCCTGGAATCTGAGTACCACCACTGTAAAAGAAATTAATATTTCACTCTGTTTCGACTTATGGTTTTTCTTATGATTTTCAGATTGACCTTAGGAGAGCCAATAACACGGAGATTATGCTTACGAAAGTAAAGATGCCGCTGCCTGATATGATGGTAAGCTCCAAACCTTCTTTAGTTGAGTATAGGTCATCACTGGTTTATCTCTTATAGAATGATCATTGTTCACAATTTTCTTTACATCAAACAGGCTGCAGTTCTGGCAATGGATGATACTGTACTAGATATTGATCAAATAGAGAATCTTATAAAGTTTTGTCCAACCAAGGAAGAGATGGAACTTCTTAAGGTATTGACTTTGTCTTTATTTTGGATGTATCATTCTTGTTGGCTATCATTAGTCACTTGTGACGAGTCCTCAATCTTGGTTGTTATTTACTGTTTTGCTGTAGAACTACACTGGCGACAAGGCAACTTTGGGAAAGTGTGAGCAGGTCTGATTAAATCTTGAGATTACCAGTCTTGAGATAGTTTTAACATTCTCCTTAGCTAATACGTTTTGGTCTCTTATCATTTTGTTACCGCAGTACTTCCTAGAGCTAATGAAAGTGCCACGAGTAGAATCGAAGATGAGAGTATTTTCCTTCAAGATTCAGTTCGGCACTCAGGTCCGGTTTGTCTATCTGATTCCTTGGGAGAAAACGTTTGGGTTCATTAGTGCCTATGTAGTTGTAAATTAGTGGTCTTGTTGTTAATGATGATTTATGTGCAGATAACAGAATTCAAGAAAAGTTTAAATGCGGTAAATTCTGCGTGTAATGAGGTCAGATGCTTGCGAGAACTAACTCTAATATTTTCTTTAGTCCATATATATTTCTCTTTCTTAGACTTTTTCTCCTCATTGCTTTTTCAGGTTCGTACTTCACAAAAGCTAAAAGAGATTATGAAAAAGATTCTTTACCTGGGGAACACATTGAACCAAGGAACTGCGAGGGGTAAGTATTCTTTTGTTATTGTTTTACATCTTTCAGAACATTTCTTAACGAAACACAACAAAAGTTTATCTGTTCAATGTGGGTTTGATCCAAGAATGGTGCCTTTGTTACCTGTTTTGTCTGAACGCATTTCCTTTGTGGTTAATAAAACCCGTGTTCTGCTTTCTACAGGCGCTGCAGTGGGATTTAAGTTGGACAGTTTATTAAAACTAAGCGATACACGTGCTGCTAACAGCAAGATGACTCTCATGCACTATCTATGCAAGGTAAAGCACAGTCAGAAGCAAACTTTAGGCTCTGTTGAGGGTTGTTTTAGAAAATGGTATGGCCCAGGAGCTGAAAACTCCTCTTTCTTTCTACAGGTCCTTGCTTCCAAGGGATCAGATCTACTGGACTTCCATAAGGATCTTGGAAGTCTTGAATCAGCGTCAAAGGTTTTTGCGTTTGTACTTTATCATTCCTCTATCCCTTGGTTGTAACTGACTCATCATTTAATTGTCCTGTCTATTCAGATACAACTGAAGTCTCTGGCTGAAGAAATGCAAGCTATTATCAAAGGGTTGGAGAAACTGAACCAGGAGCTCACTGCATCCGAAAGTGATGGTCCTGTTTCTGAAGTTTTCCGTAAAGTACGTTTGTTTTTCTTTCATATTCCATGAATTTTCAGCTGTTTATAAGAGTTGAACTACTTCCAGATGCTAAAATCTAGTTTTGTATGTTTTTTGGATAACAGACATTGAAGGACTTCATTTCTGTTGCTACGACTGAAGTGGCAACTGTATCGAGTCTTTATTCGGTCGTGGTAATTGTCAACAACCTCTACTAGACCAAGCTTTTGTATTTGACAATATTTTGATCTTGAAATGTAATGTTTATGTCTTTCTATTGATGGACAGGGAAATAATGCGGATGCACTTGCTTACTATTTTGGAGAAGATCCCAAACGTTGTCCATTTGAACAAGGTTTGTCGCAGAATATAAACTTAATCCACTATTTAGCAACACATTAAAACGTCATTCATTATTATTAGTGTATAGCTAGCTAATAACAACACCTGTGTAAATGGATTGCTGCAGTTACGGCAACCCTCTTGAATTTTATAAGGTTGTTCAAGAAAGCACACGAAGAGAATATAAAGCAAGAGGAATTGGAGAAGAAGAAAGCCGCTAAGGAGGCAGAGATGGAGAAGGCAAAGGGAGTGAGTCTCACAAAGAAACCAGTTGATGATAGCTGACCCCAACAAGAACTTAAAATCTTATCTTTTTGCAAAAAGCCGCCTTAATCTCTCAAATGAAGCAAAGGTGGTTTGTTGATGCCAGTGGAGGTGGTGCTGTTCCAAGTAACCTTTCCGCTGAGTGGCACAGGGCGGTTCAGGTCCGGGAGACTCGCGTGGGGCGGGCTATCGAGGAACCATTCAAAGGGTAAGAGGCAGGTCTTTTACATCCACTCCCACGTTACATGACTGACTCCACATTGATTAATTCTAACTTGTAAATTAGGATTCTTTCCTGCCATTTTTTTACCCTGATTAGAGGACCTTTGATAGGTTGAAGTGTTGTATAGGTTTCAGGTAGAGAGATAGAGAGATGTAGAGCATTTTATCTTTTGCTTAGTGTGTAAACTTTGTATCGTACCACAATATCATCAATGTTCTTCATAGGTAGTAGGATCCAGACGAATGGAAAAAAAAAAAAACTAATTATCTGAATCTTTTCTCCTGGTTCCCGTAAGAAACGACATGGTTTTGTCTGACTCAAGATGATCACTGTCTCCATACTTGCAAACTTTAGATGTGTAATGTTTGAAACTTTAATGGATTGGTCAACTGGAACTTGATCAATGAAGAAGCAGCTTGGGATCTTGCGAAGGCAGGCCCAAACTACAGCTAAAGAAATGGCCCACATAGAGAAGCCCATTGCGAAATTCGTTAAAGTCGTTATAAGCAGAGGATAAGGAGAAAGTGAGAAACATGGGAGTTGTTAACGATGACGACAGAATTTATAATTCTGTTCTAACTGGAAAATAGACGAGTGGAAATTGAACAAATCAGTAAAAAGAAAGTTGAAGTAAGATAGTGCACTAATTACTTAGAATACGACACGTGAGTATACGTATTCATATTTAATACGGAATTAACCGAGGGGTGAGATTTCAGATTCATCTGAAGTATGTAAGTATCTGTAATTAGTAAAATACAAAACTTATTTCGAGTGTTTTAAGGGTTTGGGAACCTGGCTATGAAAGGTAACAAAAATTTATCAACTTTTAATTTGTTATTATCCAAACTTCGAAATGGGCATTTTTATATATTACATAGTGTGATTAAGAAAGATGTTGTGTGGAACTCAAATTGATCTCTTAAATGTATATCATATTGAACACGTGACTAATTTATTGTGATTACTACTGTAAATTGTTCTTAGAAACCCCAAATAGTTTTGTACAATTTTTTTTAACAAGTATCTGATATATCTTATTATGTGTGGTCTATCAATTCTATAAAGGTACCAGTAGTTATTATCATGACCGGTTTTATTTTATAAATGTAAACTGTATATATATTCTTTTTTAAAAGGTTAACTGTATATATATGTTCTTTGTCCAAAAAGTAAATAGACTTGAAGATATAGTATTAGTGAAAACCTGCTCAAAGTATGATATTAATATACGTGTATATGTACATTTCATACATCACACGCGTAACAACTTTATAACAGAATAGATTCTTCATGAGGAAAATAAAAGAGAATCGATAAGCAACGAAACTACTTAGATGATCCCTTTACTTCAAAAGCAGATGATAGAATAAAAAGTGTCGTTCATGTGTTAGAGTGTTTTAAGAATATTGATAACGCTTTTTAAAATAGCAATTACATAACATGCAACCATTCATTTGCCTTTATAAAAAAAAAATACGTGCGTGGTCTTTTGCTTCATTTTCATGGAAATTTCGTTGTTTTAAATATTTATTAATTTATGTATGAATACACAGAGTGACATGAAATTGTCGGAAACCTACTTGTCGCGTCCCACCATTGGTCGATGGGATCTGCTTTAGTTTGGAAAGTTCAGATACAAGGAACATAAATACTACCCTAGCTAGCTAGGGTTTCACAGCGTTACAGACGTTTGCTATGTTATGATCGACTTGATACGTGATCATTTTGGTGGCAACAGCAAAAGAGAATATATATATTTTTTTTTTGGATAAACGTGGGGATCCCGTGACTAAATCAACCGACTAATTCTATGAGATTAGTCAGCGACCGAGATTAACCGACTAATTCCATGAAACCGTAGTAATCATATATTCTTATCATTTAAGATAATTTGGATGATCAGCGGAGATTGAACCAGGATTTCACCTGCCTTAAATTTTTATTTCCCCTTAAACACTATTGTACTATCACCACTAATTTTTCTTTATATCATTCCAGTTTTATTGGATGTCCCCTAAGGACAAGAATAGTTTTATGTTTGATTAGACATTAATCGTGGAAATAGCAAAGTAATTTTCATGTTTTGATCAGTTTTAAATATATAAATTATTTAGATGTGATTCTGTAATCCAGCCATGTTATAATATGTCATCAGTGCATGTGGTATATATGCATTTTGCTCTAATATTATCCCAATGGAACCAGTATACTAACTAGTGCATATGTATTGGTTTCGTCACAAGTTCAGAAAAACTTGACATGACAAATGAATAATTTCCTAAGCAAAAAAAAAAAAAAGACAAATTAATAGTTTCATTTAAAAAGGTTCCCTGCAAGTAGATTTTAACTTTGATATTTTGACGAAGCCAAAAACCATATACATCTTGACTCTAATTCAAAGATTATAGGACCTTTTTAAAGTAACAAAAAAAACTAACGAAATTAGCTGTTTTATCATCTCTCTAATATCAAGTTTAAGTTGAGTATAATAATAACAATAAAAAAAAACACACTAAAGAGTTGGAAGCAGTGATATAATAAATAATCTATACAAACTTAACACACCACGCTAAAAGGAAAAAACACTAATATTGCGAAGTTCATCTTACTTGTGACCTAAGATAATAAACTTTTGAGCTTTCTGAATCTTCAGTAACTCCAGAAAGGTTCAAGATCAACGGGACCAGTGGAGGAAGAAGGAACTTCTTGATGATCGAATCCTTTCCTCCCAAATTCATTATCGGTATTAGAAACTCCAGTTTCCTGTGAGATACTCAACGTTTTGAAGCTCTGCCTTCTGTTGTTCTCAAACATGGCTTGAGAAACCGGTTGTTCTTGTGTAAGAACCGGATCAGAAACATGGAGAGACTGAGTTTGGTATAGTGGAATCGAGCTAAGGACAGGGTTGTTGCTGAAGTAATTGAGTAATGTTCCTCTTGTTTCATTTTGGTTGGAGAAGCAGGGCACGTAACTCTGTTCCGTCTTGGTTTTGTCATTGTTATATGGTGAAGAATCTGTTAGAGGTGGTAAACTAGAACCTCCATAAGAACCAATTTGGATCAAAGTTGAAATAGGGATCTTCTTGCCTCCAGCAGTTTTGTGAAATACTCTACATATCACCCATTCATTCTACAAAAATGAAATCAAACCTTCAACAATCTAGCAAACAAAAGCAAGAAACAGAGCAAAGAAACAGAGCAAAACTAGGTTTTACCTTGGCGGTTTTGGGCAAGTTGTGAGGAGAGAGTTTCCCATCAAGCCTATACTCATGCATCACCCAGTTTGTTTTTTGCCCTTTTGGAGCTCTTCCTCTGTAGAAAACAAGTGTTTTCTTCATACCAACTAGTGATTTGCCTCTGAAAATCTCCTTATCCTTCCCAGTAGCCTTCCAGTAACCGGCTTGAGTTGCCCGGTTAGTCCTCAAACCGGTTGGATATTTTCTATCCCTCACACAGAAGAAGTACCATTCTTTCTCACCCATTTTTGCTTTATCTGTTAACCAAAAACAAATAATTTTTAGATCAAGAACAAAAGATATTTTACATTCATAGTTTTGTAATATTAATCATTAACTAGTGTTATGAAAAAACACCAAGAACACAAGTCCAACACAATTAAAAATCTCAAGAACAATGATATTTAGATCAGAGATGTTAAAAAGACTTGGTATATTTGACCCTACATGGCAACTCCCATGGCTCAGCTTTGTTCAAATCCACCTCACCAATAGCTTTAGCTGAGAAACCAATGTCAAGAACCTTGTTGTGAAGATAGTGGGTTATGAGTTCTTCGTCTGTTGGATGAAACCTAAACCCAGGAGGCAAAACCATCTGCTCATCATCCCCCTTGTGAAACGCACCAAAAGTTTCCATCTTTTTTTATCACCCAAGAAACCTTAAAACCCTAAAAGAAAAGCAAATATCTGATCCAACAACAAAAAACTAAACCTTATTTGATAGAAAAGTTGTGGTTATCAAATGGTTTTTTTTATTTGATCGAGAAAGATGTGTTCTTGAATGGTTTCAAGAGAAGGGTTCAGAGAATATATATAGATATATAAATGTAGAGAGAGAAAGAGAGTAAATGTGAAAAGAGAAGTTATAGAAAGGAACTAAAAAGGAAGGGAACTATATGGAACCCGAAAGGTAGAATTTCTTTTGACGAAAATGATCGTTTTTAATATACAAATTTTATTTGTTAAAAAAAATATATTTATTTCTCCATATTTTGTGAGAGGCGGAAGATACGTAGCATGTAACGCAACTTGGCTAGGTTGTTTAGCACTTTCTCTTTTTAAAAAGAAAGAACCCTTTTTCTGCTTTAATAAAAGGTAACTGAGATCGAAATGAAATTGATAAAACTATATTCGGATATATATTAATTACTCACTTGACTTAGTTTTTGCCTTTTTGGTTCTTTGAATGATTGACGTTATAATGAAATTCAGAGAACAGACAAAAAAAATTTCGTTGTTAATTATACAATGAATAATGGCAGACTGTCAGTGAGTTAAATTAAATTATGAAGTTATATTTATGTGATTCAATAAAGCTATGATTATAAGCGTTTTGGGTATTCATCAAGTTCATTGATTAAAAAAAAAACTTTGACGAAGGAAGAGGTCAGTGCATGTCATTTCAAGTATTTAATTTATTGAAATTCTGATGAATCGACACCATTTATTAAAACTCCGTAATATTCTAATATTAATTATTTTTAAATACGGCTAGCCAGGAAGGCATGAATATGATTGACAAATGGTGTTTCTGCTGTTATTCTTATTGGTTCTTTAATTTTGTTTCCTTATCTATCAAATATATGTTATTTTACTGTAGACAAACTGTGCTCAACGAGGTCAAAAAGTCAGAACTGAAATAGAGAGTACGTACATATTAATCCAATTAAAATCATCGTATACATGGACTTATAGTTATGTTCATTTTCAAGATAATCTCCTCGCTTCTTTTTTGGGGTTTTTGTTTTAGTAGTTTAAATTATCAAATTATTTTAAAGCTGTAATAAGACAGCATAAGGTGTATATATCAAGGTGAAGCGGTGATTCTTAGAGGCAGATTTAGAAAATTCTTTTAGTATAAACATTATCATTGATTTTGAATTAGTTTGAAGTATTATCATAAGTTTTCAACAAGTTTTTTTTAAGAATATCATTCATATAAAATAAAAGGTTAGCAGGGCACATTATATTATCCCGTTAGTCGGCACGTACGTCCTGGGTGCTTCCATTATATAAGAATTATACTTAGATTTTAATGGTGTAGCCTTTACTTAGTGAGATAGTATATTCTCTCAAATAAACTAAATTAATTTCTTCATTTAATTAACAAATATTGGGGTGATAGATGATAATGGAGTTTCGACAGAAAAAAACAAACACGTATACCACGGTATATCCATACGTACATAGTAAATACGGAAAGTATATACGTTTAGGATGAACTATCAAAGTTATTTTCCTGTAAAAAACTTTACCCCGTTAAAGTAAATACCAATCGTAATAGGCTTCCTCTTTTCTAAAAACGTGATAAGACCTACGATCGTATGAGAAAATCTTTAATTAATCTCATTCTAATTTTAAAGCCAGCAATAAGGACAAACTTGTTTGTCAAAATAGTGGATCAGGCGATAATATTCTAGTGAATAAAATAAAACAAATCGTGGGGTGAGGAAAGAACAGATCCAATAAGATTTGGTCGTCTAATAAATTAAACTTCTACTTAAAGAAAATGTTGCAAATTAGGTTGGTACGAAAGCTACTAATATTTCTATTTAAGGAAATATATCTAATAAGACAAGACCACGTGTCTGGCTGTTTCTCGAGTGATCCCAAAGACTTCCGGTCATTGCCATAGTCAACTTGTCCACATCTGCAACGTCATGCTGATTTTAATCACATAAACAATGCTAGATGCCAGCTACTAACCATTTATAAATCGACACGTAGTGTAAATGAAAACTAATCAAGTAATTATCGATGCAGCGATGGTTGACCTTGATGGGAAGTACTGCTCGGGAGATACATGGCCGTTAGTGGCTGCGAGAGTCAATTAAGAGCATAGCCATTCTCGGTGCATCTCTACGAACGAGCATATAATAAACAAGAGTAAATAGGGCCGTACAATACGTGAGACGCAAACGAGATCGATAACGGAAACACTATAGAAAACCATGTAAGACTACACATTTTACGCATAACGCATTTAATGAGTCCCGCTGGTGACTGCAACCAGTATTAAATCATGTAGTGGCTCTGGCTAATAATCTTTAAACGTATCAAATCTACTAGGCAATGTGTCTAAAATGTATTGTTATTTGATCAAATATTTGAAAATATCATATACGACGTGTGTGATATAGCTTTTTAAGTTTTCTACTAAATAGTATAGTGTATATGTGTGAGTGTGTCGAAAAGAATTCTTAAATTGTGCTTTTTGTATATTTTACAATTTCAACTTCTGTTAGAGATTGCCACTGCCATATATATAGATAGATCTCTGAGTTATTGCGGATGAATGTGTGTTTTCATCAGATTAAGGAAGAGAAGACAAAATATCGTTTTTTTGTAAGTTGTAACTCTTCTCAAGAAAAAAGGAACTTGTAAGTTGTAAGTTGTAACCTGTTATTACAACATGTTTAATTAATCAAATATAACGTGATAAAGAAGAAGAAAAGATAGATATTGGGGGTGACTCGTTAGGTTTTAACTTTTATCTCTTTACTCTAGTTCAAATTATTTTAAAAACATTAAATTTTATCAATTATGTTGTAGATTTATTTTTAAAAGTTAAAGCTTATATCAAATCTCTATTAATTTAAATCAATCATATTTTATTTTTATTTTGAAAGTTACGGCAAAAAAAATGAATCAATTTTTTTTTGTATTTTAGCTAATAAATCTACATCTTTCTTTATAGGCTGTAGAATATGTAAATAGAAAACTCTATAATATCAAATAAATGAGATAATCATAATTTTAAACATCTTTAGATATTTTAATTTGATTTTGTGTGTTTTTAAAATTATTGAAATATTTTAAGTAACATAAATATTATTTACATATCACATTAAATAACAGTAAACTTTGATAATTAATAAAAAAAATTATTAAGATAAATTATATTAATTGATAAAAAAAATTATTTTATATATAATATCACATATTCACATATTTTATATAATATATCTACAGCTACCTTATATAGATACAAAAAATTTAACTACAAAAAATCAAAAATTCTTTACAAAATCTACAATAACAATTCAACTTAACTAAATCTAAACTTTTATAGCTAAATTTTTACAGTTACAGTCGAATCAATCATCATTGTTTTCTCGTATTATCATATGCATTATATAGTTAAAAAATATTATCTATTATATTAAAACTAAAGTACAAAATAATTAATTCTGATTTTAAGTGGTTTCCTACAGTTTTTCCTTCCTTTTTTAACTAATTATAGTCACTTCATTTATTGTCTTTAAAAAATCACTTACAATATTTATTACAGAAGTATAAAATAGAACTTATCCATTTTAAGTGTTTACTAGATTGACCTACACGACCGTGCATGTCTTCTTTACTATAATTTTATAATAAATTAATCAACAAATAAATATAATTCGGTGTTATATATTATCTAAGTTTATAATAATGTTTATATGTTAATAATATTATTACTATATAATTTTATAAATTTATATTTTGTAACAAAATTGATTTAAAAATATTATTATATAACAATACTATTTTACATATTTTTTGTTTTATTTTTAAATTTTAAAGCATAAATGAAAATTAAATTAAATCGTACCTACATAATATATATAAACTTTTTGGTATACTTCTAAAAAATTAAAAAATTTATCTTTTGGGATATTGGTTTTTGAATAGTCTTAGAAAACAAATATTTTTGACTAACGAAATCTTGTAAAATCTTTATAATTATTTTTTTTGGAAATTTAATCAATGTGAATAATTAATATCATTAAAATAAAATATTTATATAATTTTTAAATTTCATTATAAATCAAAACTAAATTAAATTTTAGTTTCTAATTATATTTATGATAATGAAAATTTAAAGTGAACAAATCTCAGAAATATATTTTAAAAGATTCTAAAAGATTTTAAGAAGATTTTGTTAGAATTTTCTTGAAAATATTTGTATTTCAAATAACTAAAGATATTAGAAGGTATTATGATTAAGTTATGTGAAAATTGATATAATTTCTAGAAATAGTCCAAATTAAAGAAAAGTCACACATGAAAGAAATAATAACTTCTATTTTGACAGTATAGATTTCATATTTTACATTTTTTTTTTCACTTTTCTAACTAGTTATTAATTATCTTTACCATAATAATTCGACAATATTCATTATACATGTTGACCAAAATAATACGACATATTTGAAGAATCTGCTCTATTTATGACTAGAATTCAAAACAATTAGCAATTAGTTTTTTTTTATTTACAAATTTAGTTAGGCATGAACATTTGAGTACCTGTTGGGTATGGATCGTTTCTTTTCTATACCAAGTCATTTTTTTAGGTTTTGAAATTAGGTTTCATTCGGATATTTTAAGTAGGATCATCCCAAACCCGAGTGGGTTTGGTTCTGATATATAAGAAATTAAAAACATCCAAATAACCAATGTTCAGGTTTTTGTATCAAAATTAATCATACTATCTGATTTGATTCTGTTGTTTTGTATCCAAATTAAAAGTAACCAAATAATCTATATTTACCCGATTCGATTATAAAGTATAGGAACATATAACTATTTAAATAGCCAATATATAATTGGTTATATGTGGATACATGTAAAATATATAATACTAATCATAAAAAGTGAATATCAATTTATAAAAATATAACAAGCAACTCGCGCGTGGGCGCACTAATAAATCTCTAGTTAAAAGAACTCTATTATGAAAAATGAAAATTGTCTGGCTTGGAACATAGCTGGCCCATGTGAGTATTCCTGGTACAAAACGAAAAAGAGAATGATATATGTCTGTATGGATAAACCTAAACCACTTAAGACAACCTAATTCAAGGTGTAACACTATTATATTGTTTATTGGCCTAATTAGGCTACGTTGCATATAACTGAACTCACATGTACAACAATTTTCATTCAGGGAATACATATATGGTTCTTCAGAATCAGAACTTTAGAAAAGGTTCAAAACTTATATATGTAATGATTACCGGAATGGTTATTAACACTTTATCATATTTTAAATAACTTGAACAGTAATTTACTAATCATGGATACAATCAGCATCAATGGGGATGTAGCTCAGATGGTAGAGCGCTCGCTTAGCATGCGAGAGGTACGGGGATCGATATCCCGCATCTCCATCCTTTTGCAGTTTTGTCACATTTTCTGTATTATCTCCATCCTTTTCACTTTTGTCACACTAAGTAGCCGCTATTGATCAATGTTCAAATACTTGTGATCAGAATTTAGAAAATAACACTATTCTTTATAGTTAGCAATTGCTACTTTGTTCAACAAGAAAAAAAACTTAAAGAAAGTTTCTAAAAAGGCATTGAAGAGAAACAGTTTCAGTGTTGGAAAGTTAAAGTTTCTATGTTTTCTTGAAAAACTTTCCTCCTTTATTCCCAATTCCAATCTCTGTAAAGCTAGACCAGAGATGTGATCTGGTGTCTGGTCTCCACTGCAACTCTACCAAGTCTGAGAACAAAGCTGACAGCAATGGAGAGATCTCTGAATCTTTTACGTTCTTGCAAGAAACCACTTTCAGATGTTCAAGCTCATTCCAATGTAGAATCACTGATTCAAGACCTGGTGTTGTTAGCAATGAGCATCCTTCTAGATACAGAAGCTTCACTCTCCTGCAAAGCCATCATACAATAAAAGATTCAAACTTCATATACCAGTTATTATTCTCACCATTACCAAACTTCAAAAGCATTTAAGAAGAAACAATCAGGTTTTGTTAGTACCTTAAAGTCATTGCCAAGCTGAAGATATCATCATCCAATCCCCAACAGTCTTGAAATACAACCTCTCTCGCTGCTTCACACAACTTAAACAAATCCTTTACTATATTCTTGTCTCTTAACTGACACTTCTCCAAGTGTAACCGCTCCAGCGCAGGACAAGAACTACTCAAACACTCACCTAGACCAGGTCCATGATCAATCTTTTTACAAGAAACTAGTTTCAAGGTCTTGAGATTCTCACAATATCCAAGACCACCAAGCCAACCAGCTTCCATCTTATGATCACAAACAGTAAGCTCCTCAAGCATCTGACAACATTCCCCAATCTCTTTAACCCCATCAAACCCTCCTTGGCATCCAACAAGCTCAAGCTTCACAAGCCTCTTACACCCTTGAGCCAAAATCATCAAACCAATATCCGAAACCAAAGAACCATCAACACTCCCAACCAATCTCAATATCTGCAGATTCTCAAACGCACCAACACCAAGCAGAACATTATCAGAACACTTATGCAGTTCCAGTTCTTGCAACCTCGTACACGCTTCAGCCACACTCAACAAACCTAACTCACTAGCGTTCGCCACCACAAGTCTCCGGAGACTAGAACAGCCACTTGCAAGAACCCTTAGCCCTCTATCAACCTTTTCAACAGACAACAAGTGACTCTCCTCAACAAAGCTCACACTTTGGTACGACCCTACACCAACACGTGAATTTAATAAACACCCATTGACCAAATCAACGTTGTCCAGATTAGGAAACCTTGAGACAAGCCGACCAGACTCGAGAACCTCCCAATCCGACACCTTAACCGACCGTACAAGACCCCCGTGGAGTCTCAACCACCTCTTGCAGACTAAAGACAGAGACTTTCGATGAGATAAAGGGACCTTGTTGATGATTGTGAGGAGGGTGAGGTCAGATAATAAAAGGGTGAGATCTGGTTTAGGGGAAGGAGAAGAGAGTAAATGGTGGTGATGGTTAACCCAAATCTCTGACCAGCTTGCTCTTCGTTTGTTCAATGGCGAAACTGGACTTGTCTCCTTCTTCGTCTTCTTCATCGTAAACGACATCGTTTCGGTTTTGTCAAAGTGATGCTTTTTCCCTGAAAACCAAACGTTTCTCGGAGGAAAATGGGTTCACTTTCCCGAGAAAAATTAGAACTTTTTTTTCTTGTGGTTTCTGCAATTAAACTGGAAAAGTTTGAAGCTTTTGCAATCACTTCGTCTTCCTCGTCGTAAACGACATCGTTTTAGCTTCAGATTCTCCGTCACCGCTTCGTTAATTGATGCTTTTTCCTGAAAGAAACCAAACGTTTCTCGGAGGAAATGGGTTTGCTTCCCGAGAGAAAAAATCGAAACTTTTCTTGCAATTAAACAGGAAAGTTTGGAGCTTTGCGAAAACTTGCAATCACTTCGTCTTCTTCGTCGTATACGACATCGTTTCGCTTCGGATTCTATTCGTCACCGTTTGTCAAAGTGATGCTTTTTCCTTGAGAACCAATCGTTTCACGGAGGAAATGGGTTGGCTTTTCCCGAGAAAGATTGAAACTTTTTGACGGATTTTTCTGCAATTAGACTGGAAAGTTTGAAGCTTTGCGGAAACTTGCAATCACTTCTTTTTTTCTTCCTTTGATTTTTTGGTTTTATTTAATTTAATTTTTGTCTCTCTCTCAAATGCATAGTGCAAAAACATGTCACTCTCACTCTTTCTGATCCAAAACATGAAGCCACTAGATTTTTATTTATTTATTTAATGATATTCTATTTATAGATGCTGACAAAAAGGAAAATTTCAAGAGTATTTGCATTGTGTATACACACAAAACCATCAAATTAGCTATATACCATATTTCCCCCTTCTCTCTCCTCCCCCCATTATTATTTTTTCCCCCTAAACTAAGGCAAATTCCTAAATAACTTCTTTTTTTGGTATATTCAGCAAATTCACCCAAATTTCAATAAATTTTGATAGAAAAGTACAAAAAATTAAAATTAGTAAGTGGATGGTGATTGCTGAGCAATCTCATTCACTCACCATTTACAAATTAGACTTTTTTTTTTGTGAGATGGAATTTATACAAAAGAAATAGATAAGAGATTGTTTGGGGGTTAAGAACGAGGAGGAGCCATCTGTTGCTTCTTTATCCTCTCGTGTGATTTCACCATACTGTCATTACCAAAAGAGATTACAATATTACATTTTGAAATTTGAGATTCTGTTTAGGTCAGCGTTTCTAGAGTAAGTGGAACAAGTTATTATTGTTACCTGATATCATGAGGAGTGATAAACATCCATTGTGAACCTTTTTCCAATGCAAAATCAACCAATGTGTCCAAGCTTATTTTCCTGCTTACTGCGTCCTGAATATTTGCCAAAAACAGAAAACATTTTCTCTCACTCTCTTTAGGCGTTTTAAGCACTTTGCCTAAAAGCATCTGACAAATGAGTGATGTGGAGATTACCATAAACACGTCAAACTCGTCCATTGCTCGAATTGGGGCCTCAGTCATATCGTGAAGTGCTAATGTGAAGCCGAGAGTCGAGAAAGACCGTTCTCCACCTGCAATTTATGACATGAGGTGGGATTTTGATCAAAACTCTCAAGCTGCCTAGACTCTCCATGGAGGAATCTTAGCAATAAGATAGTATGTAGGAGAAAACAGAGATTGTGGTCAAACAATTTTTACACTCTTCGTTTAAGTTTCATCTTCAAGGGCATTTGAACACTTAATTTCATATGTTGAAACCATGTTTAGAAACACCCTTGTACTAGGTTTCAAATGTGAGACTTTGATGTCCTAACTCATATTCAAATAGAGTAGAGAGGCAGACCTGAAAGCCCTCTAGTGTCTCGAACACCGCTTCTTGTTGCATCTTGAGGCATCTTAACCTGTTAAAGAATGATGAAAATCACATCAACCAGTTGATTAAAGTAAATAATATATAGACACATCAGATGTAAAAAGTATTATGGAGCTAATTACCCCTATGGACAAAGTCGTGTCTTCATAAGAAACCTTAATCCGTCCGCTGATTCCTTTCTTTCCCAAATGAGAGTTGAAACTGCTTAGAAGATCGCCAATCAAAGGAAATGTAAGAGCTAAAACCTATTCAATGTAACTCGCAATAATGAACAAAGTAAGTCGTACTGAAAAGTTAATAGGCGCATCGCAGCATCTTTATTACGTTGGAGCTTCTTCCAACGTGAATCTACCGCATCTTTGCAGACCTGATTATACAGTGCTTCTCCACATTAAATGATTGGCCATATATATATGAATTTTGGATACACAAAAGTATATATATACCTTGAGTTTCTCTCGAAAGCTCTGGTAAGTTTTGCGTTTTCTCCCAATCTTGTGTTCTTTTTCCTCAAGCGTAATCCTTAGGTCATCAATTGATTCAGAATACCTGCACCAACAAAAGATGCATGTAACCTTAAGTATGTGCATTCAACGGGCAGTTTCAGCGTATAGGTACAATCACAAGGCACAAATAGTGACGCACTTGTCACTCTCTCGCTTCAGTCTATGATTTATTTTGTTAATCTGAGCACTAAGCTGAATAGGCGTGGACCCATCCCAAGGACCTAAAGCAGTTATCTCACTCTCAGGACATATTATGGAGGCTTTCTCATTACTTTCCTGAAAATTCAGCAGTCGAACAACAGTTTTAAAGAAAATAAGGACCCAAGGGCAATAACTTGAAGGTGAATAGAACATATAGATGGAACTGCATTGCTCATTGTTTATTCTTACCTTTTGCTTGGCTTCAAGCTCCTTATATTTAGCTTCAGCCACTTGGATATCAGGTAAGACCTTGTCCTTCATTATATCTTCATAATGGTTCTTTTCCTGAAACAGAATAAAAACTTCAGTTCTAACTTCTAACTGCAAAACAAGTAAAGAGCCAAACTCTTAAAGAAGGTGCACCGTTTCTGCGTATTGGAGTCCCTTTTCAATCTCCTTTAGCTCATTCTCTGCTTCCTCAAAGACGTCAACTTTACTCTGGGCTGACTCTGCATGCACGTTTTGGAAAAGATAAAAAAAGTTAATGTTGATTTCTTTCTTGAACTATGTTAAAGCAAAGTGGTCTGTAAATCAAGATGATCCTTCTTTCATGTTTTTTCATACATCCAGTAAAGATAAAATGTACCGCCAACATACCGACAAAGTTTTCATATGCAGTTCTAAGTTCATTAGCCTTTAGTTCAGCTTCCGTCAGGCAGTCTTGGAGCTTTTGCAGTAAGGATTCCTTTTTCTCTATCTCTTCTTGAGAGTTCTGAGAAATACGAAGTGCATAATGATTAAGGAATTATGCCATGGGGTAGAAAGATGACAATGAAGTGGTTTCAATCAATAAAAATAACCATTATTTCTAGACGAAGTTCATCAACACTTGAGGTAGGCGACGCTTTGGTTTCAGCAGCGACTGAGTTTTTCAGATCTTGCAATTCAAGTTCCTTCCTTGTCAAATCTTTCTCAAGTTGGGTGCATTGTCTCTGTAACAAAGAGCAGAAAAACAATAGCAAAATGATTAATTTTAAGCTTTGTGAAAACGAGATAAGACAGCAAAAGGTTGTGAACATCAATTCTGCATGCGCTATCGAGACAGTAGCAAGTTTAACCTACCTTCAGTCTGCGCATTTGTGGTTCAAGACCCTCGAGATTCACCTCTGCCTCCCTCTTTTGTCTCCTGCGTTCCTCTATATCACCTTGTTCTTTTGAAGCCTCTACTTCAAGATCCTTGATTTGGTCATCAAATGAAGCACACAATCGAGTCGCTCTTCGATCACGGGGAGGAAGGGTTGTCTGGACAGGCCCACGGGAAAACCTGAGTCAAGAATAGGAAGAGTGCTGTTATGTGGACGCAAATCGTCGTCTAACATGAAGCTTTTCTACTAAGAAAGTAAAAAAAAGACTCAGTAAATACATCAGAAGTGGACCATAGTGATCTCAACTCGAAGTTGTAGACAGTTGATCTAAAAGATCTCTGTCTGGCTCTTTAAACGATCAATTCTTACAAATCTAACTGTCTGCTTACATTCTGTATCCATCTGTAGTGAAAACATCCTTCAGATGCGCGAGCCTTCTCTCAAAGGCAACTGTCTTGCCAACCTCATAATTCTCTGCGAGCACTTGCCTCTCCACACCCATCTGGAAATATCCAGAAACCAAAGTTGAAAATGAATTACCATCACAGTGGTTGGGGGATGAGAAGTTAGTAAATACAAATAAAATATGTAAGTAAGATTACCACATCCACTAAGACGTTAAGAACAGTATGATTCTCAGAGTTTAAGACAGAGAGAATAGTTGGGTGTTCCGTTTGTGGAACCATGTGCCTTGGTATAACTAACCTGCATAAACAATTACCATGCCGTTCGATATAACTAAAGCTATCCATTAAAGCAGAACATAAACAGAGATAGTGGGAGTATTTTTCAGATTTTAAACCTTGGCCTAGAGAAGTCATAGATGATAATCTTCAGATTGTTATAATTTGCTTCCTTTCCACAGCTTCGCAAAGTAATTAAATCTTGGTGATTGGTTACAATAAACGCATTCAAGAGATTTCCAAGAGCTTGTTCAACAGCAGAAGCCCATTTATTACCATTGACCAATGTCTGTAGAAAACCACACGATTAGAAGAGCTCAAACTAAAGCAGCAGAGATTGTTTTTATACACTTGAAAAGGTAAGCTTGTCTTTACACACTATGTATGGTCCATTTAAGAAAACATGTGAACTAACTTGACTATATTCTTTTGGGCTAATATGCGCGGAAAGAACAAAGAGAAACTTACCACATGAGCACCAACAGGGCCAATAGGTGGCATTTTAAATCTGCGATGATGTCTCTCAATCGCCCGCAAAAGACTAATGACCCTGTCACCTCCAAATGCGGTAACCTAGCAACATAATTTTGAAATTATCCAACTAATCCACCAAAAGAAAAATGACATGTAAAGTCTGGTTATAGGTCTATGTAACTGGATAAGCACCTTATTAGTTTGATGTTTCTTGAGATCGTTGATGTGCGTGTTTATGCTCCTTTGCTTCTTTTCACGGTCTCTAATCTAGAAGCCAAAAGGTCAAATAGCTGAATGTAAATAAATCTAAAGACTTCAACATTAAGGTGGTGATTCGTACCGTATCCTCTATGAGTGCTATCTCCTTCCCTATGACTGATGCTTTTTCAATCACCATCTTCTCTTCGTCTTTCAAACTGAATTGCACATTTACTACATGGTTAGCGAAAAGAAGAAGATATATTGAAAAGGGGATCAAGAGTTAAAAATGAAAACCATAATTACCTGAAAAGCAATGCTTTAACCTTCTCAACCTCTAGCTTCAACTGATTCAGGTTTTCTTCGATTTCAGATTGTTCAGCCTGCATCACTATTAGACTGTAAGAACTAAATACACCTATACACACACTAAACTACGCCTCAATCATCCTACCTAACACTGAGCATACAAATGAATGCATCTTAGTTTGCGCCTTTACAGATAATGTAATGATAAAATAAAGAGGACCTGTGTGCTTCTTATAGTCATTTCCTCGATATCTTTAATTTGCCGTTCAAGCCTCATAACACGATCCTTAATCTTCTGGATGTTAT